ACCCCCTTAATAAAATAACATCGAATGTAATTTGTGTACCGATACATAGGTAGTGTATCGATACACACGTTAAGGAATGTACCGATGGACTATAGAGTATACCTATACCTACCTTAAATAAGAATAAAAATAGCCTTTCTTTTAGTTTAAGAAATGAAAGATTAGAGTATACCAATTAGAATACTGATATGTACCAATGTATTATGTAGATATAGAACGTAAGCTTGTTCCGGAACAATCAAAGGATTAGGATCGAGTCAAAGCAAGCAAGGCTAAGGTGAGTGCATACCTTAGATAGAATTGTATGGAGATAAGACTTGCGATAAGTCTATCTCTTATAGTTGAATTTATGATGTTATATTCATGTACATGCATATATATTATTGTTATAGAGATTTCATGCATAATTCATCCATGCTTTGATATGATATTATAGGATTGAATGCCATTATAAGAGAATCAATCCAGGTATATAAAATAATGGAAGTGATCATATGTGTACATGTGAAGTGAATCATGTGGTTAAATGAAAAGTGATAAAAGAGACATGAAAAGGGGAAATGTATTCATATTGAACCCCGTCTTAGTTAATATGAGAGATGTAGGTATAATTGGCATGCCAAGAGTCAAGGGTTCTACGTGGTCCTTCGGGACATATATGTAATTCTGTGAAACATATATGTGGTAATTTGGTACACTTATTTGGGCCATTGTATTATGTATATGGTTCTTAAGGAGTGGTCATTCGGGGCATAGTGGTCATTCAGGAGAAATTTACAGTATCCCTAGTGGGAATTATATAAGCTGTGGTGATAGCATTGTGCACAACCTCAATGTACTCACATACCTCCTGTTCTCAATAATGTACATGGGCAATCTAAAGATAAATTGAAGTTAAACTGGCATAAAGATATAAGTTTCATATGTCCATGACATGATCATAGTGTAATATATACATGCAAGTTGAAATGTCATAATCAAATGGTAAGAGTGTGTGTTCATGAATTTATTGTTATATATTCATATTATGCCTCACTAGGTCTATGACTTGGCGTGTAAGTGATTTACACGTAGGTACCAAGAAACAAGAAGATCAGAAATAAGAGTGGCAAGGACAACATCATTACTAGAAGATCATATCAGAAGTAATTAGCAAAGTATGTGTTTTGGTTGTATTTAGTGTGTTGGCATGTAAATAGTTTGTTAATTACGAATGCTCTGATCGATTTTGTATTTTCCTGGTCAAACTTTTGTGACACCTCAGACTCGTATTTGGGTCGGGTACGGGTAGGGGTGTTACAAGATTTTAGCACATAAAGTCAAAGAACTAAGAAATAAGACGATTCCATTGGTAAAATTTCTTTGGCGGAATCATAAAGTTGAGAAAGCAACTTGGGAACGAGAAGAAGATATGAAGAAAAAAATTCCTTATCTATTTAATTCAGGTATGTAGATATGTAGAGAAAATTCGAGGACAAATTTTCTTTAAGTGTGGAATTTTAATACTCTAAATTTTGACCAGTGACTAAAATGTAAGTTTTAAAAGTTTAGCGGCTAAAATATAAACTTTGAAAAGTTTAAGACCTAAAATTTTAATTTTTAAAAGTTATATATTTTAGCCTTTAAATGAACAGTTTAGATTAAAACATAGATTTTAGTGTGAATCAGATTTTTGATATGAGAATTGTGTTAAAAGCTATAAAGTAGTAAAGTTTAGTATTGAAATCAGATAATCGAATCGAACTGGAATTTTATGAAAAATTTTAAGGATGTTATAAAATGATTGGAAATATTATTTATATACTTCAGAAAAGTGAAATTTAACATGGACTAATGGAATTAAGGGTAATTTTCCTTGTTAAGCCAAAATTTTGGAATTAGGTGACTAAATTGCAATTTTCAAAAATCTCAAGGATAGAAATAAAATTATAATTCTGTAAGGGATAATGTCAAGGAGTGGCATGGATGAAATTATTAAGTTTTATTAAAGGCAAAATGGTAAAGTAGATTAAATGAATTTAAAATTCATTTATATTAGATAATGACATGTGTATTAAGGGATAATGTTTAGTAAAGTGAAGAAAATTTCAGTTTCTTCATCCTCCTTGCTGTCGTGAGACTCCATTAATAAGGTGAAAAGCTTTGTTTTTAATTTTCGGTCCATTTTTTCTATAATTTTAAGTTAGGTTATTAAGGATAAAATAACCTACATGAAATTCTCTTTCATTTGGCATAAATATCTTCATGTTTCATGCTCAAGTTGGTAAGATGTTGATGAAGGGGAAGTGTAATTTTTTATGATTAAAGATTTATTCTTGATATTAGAAGTGTTGTTAGAATTGATGAAGAACCTAAGTATGCAAATTAATGAAAACGTATTAGATTTTTTATTATAGCAGTGAGTTTGAAAATTCACCAAAACTTTTATAAAAATGATTTGGAGGTTATTTTTATATATTTGTGTTTGTATATCAATCTAGTTTTGTTTAAAACCAATGGGGATTAATTTCAAGGTATGTATAAAAAGATATGAATTTTAACCAAGGAAAGGTCAGAAAAACGGGGGCAGCAGATTCTGCACAAAACAGATTCTGTCGGTCAACTTTGAAAATTTACCATAAATTGTACAGAATGAACTAGAAGTTCCTTTATATGGATAGATTCTTATTCAATTCTAGTTTTCATTGGAAGAAACAAAATTAAATTCCAGTGTGAATATCAATACAGAATACTGCTTCTTTAAAGGTTGTGCGAGTTGTCTGAATATGGAAATTTTAGAATTTAAGTAGAAATGGATTAGAAGATGAAAAGTAATGTTTAAATGTTGATTATATTTTTGGATGCATGGAATTGAAGTTGAATGGCAAGAAACCATTTTGAATAAATTGGAAATGTTGAGAAAAAATCTAAAAGAATTCATTTTAATGGTTAGATGGTGGAATTCGAAAGGTTCTAAAACTTTAAGGGCTTGTTTGCAAATTCTTAAATGACAGTATTATTTGAGTAAATTATTGAATGCTGAAAAATTTATTAGTATGCTGAATTTTGAATTAAATATTGAGTTGAGGTTGAATTACAAATTTATTGAGTTTGGTGGTTGAAAATCGAAAGTTAGGAAAGTTTGAGTTGAAATTATAAATGTTTGAAATGTTGAGGTATTGATTTGAGCATTTTATTAAAGTGCTGGAATTTTTATATTTAATGTGCAATGATTTTAATGGTGAAGGACCATTATGAACTAAATGGAAAGGTTGAGGTGAATTGTAAAAAGAATTCACAACTTATAGCTTATATTAGTACGATACTAATATGTAGTTCGAACACTTTGTGTTATTATTTGGTATTGCCAGACCACGACAAATCTAGCAACCGGGATTATTCGAAAGGAAAAGTAAAAGTACGTGATTAGAATTATCGCTTAAAGGAATCTATAGTGAGGCAAGGGTGAGTGCAATTATTTATTTAATTATTTTGATCGATGACGACTTGCGATAAGTCAACCTCATTTTAATTTACAGTATGATTTATAAAGTTTATAAAGATAATATTCTATATCAGTTTTATGAATTATTTAGGGTATGAACTACCTATGCCTGATATTTTTTTATGATGGATTTATTATGACACATCAGCCCATTGTGTGTTATAGTGAGAATTGTTGGTACACTTGGCATGCCATTAATTGAGTATTTATCCATTATCAGCTTTGATACATTCGTGTATCAATGTTATCATATCAGCTTTGGTACATTCGCGTATCAATGTTATCATATCAGCTTTGACACATTCGTGTATTAATGTTATCATATTAGCTTTGGTACATTCGTGTATCAATGTCCAGCATCGTTGGTGCATATTCAGGTTATGATGGCACTGAAGTGCATCATATCTCAATGTCAGTTACGATTTCCACTGTGTTGTGCATAGTGCGCACCTTACTCATGTATCTTATGTTCTCATAAATATGCATTGGGCTATGAAAATGAATATGCAAGTTGTGAATGATTTCCAGTTGACAGGAATGCATGATATGATTATTTTATCAGATATGATTTATCAGAATTTTCACGAGTTCATGATTTAAAAAGAAATTTCAGGTCTCAGTGAAGAAATCGACTTGGAAAAGTTGGTTTGTCAGTTTAATGTTTTAACTAGGATTATTTTATTTATGTTTATGATATTTTCAGATTTTTCTCACCTTAGATTATTATTGCCTCACTAAGTTGTACTTAGCGCATGATGGTTTTCATGCGTAGGGTCTGATTGAGATACAAACGCTTTATTAGGAGCCTTCCAAGCATCGTGTGCAAATAACCTATAATACCAGTATCAGTAAGACATCATTGACGTTTCTTTTGACTAATAGTGGCATGTATAATTATGTCAGTAGTTTCTATTTATCGTATTTATTTTAAATATATTGTAATAGTAAACTAGAATAATTTTAGTTTAGTTTTATAAGTATATATGCATGAAAAATACTATATTATGTTATTATGTTTTTAAAAGATTTCACGAAAATGCATGGTTTAGTAAAATTACTGATTAACAAATGAATTTATTTTCCCGTAACAAAGAAATAAATTATAGGTTGAGATATACTTTAAAATATATTTTTAAAGTTAAAATATGAGTGTTTTCAAGTGAAACAAATTTTTCGTCAATTTCAGTTCAGTAAATGTTTTTAAGTTCATGTGACATCTTTGACTCGTATATCGAGAAGTATACGTGTTAAGGGTGTTACAATCTTGGGTTCTCCTTGCAACACAAGAAGCTACTTTTGTTCCTTTTTATATTTTTGTGAAAAATTCATCTACCCCAGTTTCCCTCCCCCAGTCCTTTTTCCTTGTGATGGGTTCTGCAATATAGTATCTTTATGCATCAGCTCATAATAATAGAAGGCAGTTTCTAAATAATGATATTTTAATTTAACTAACATGTAATATAATATTTGACATGTCAGTTGTACATGAAAGTGCACATGTCTCATGCTTGATCAGGAAAATTCCCGGATGTTTGCAGGGAAACAAATTCATCCATTTTTCACATCACGAAAAGTGGGGAAGAGGAGCCAGGAGACTGCTGAAGCAGGGAGCAATAATTGCTTGCTTAACATAAGCAATAAAGGCATTGATATTGGTCCTATTCATGTATATGAAAGAAGTCATGTATTTGCATTATTAAGTGAACCATGTCTAATTGTATTGTATTTTTTTCATAGTGGGAGAAGGAGGACGAGAGACAGAAGAGGAAGGGCGAGAGATCGAAGATGAATTGGGGGAAAGAGAGATATGGGTTAGGGATTGAGACTGAATTGAGGATTACTTACCTGATGAGTGGGCACGTAAAGAGCACGGGAGGAATTAACCCATCAGTCTAGCAGATCCCGGCGGGTAGTCCAGCAGATCCGAGTGGTGAGCGGGTAGCCCAAAAAGAAGCCCAATTCCTGTGATGACAACATAATTATTTGTGCAAGGACAGCCAGCTGGCTTAGCTAGATTCCCTGGTACTGTGTATGTAAATAAAACGGGTACTTGTAAAGAAAATGATATGCATATTTTGAATAAAAATTGAATTCCTTCATCCTTTCTTTGATTATATTTCCTATTCTCTCTTCGCTCTATTCCTCTAATTCTCTCATAACTATCACAATTGGTATCCAGAGCCAAATATTTCCTGGAAATCGACGTTGGGAATACTAAAGAAAAACCAAATAATGTCTGAAACACCTGATTTTGCAGCACTACAGAAATAACTTGAGGATTTAACAACTTTGGTTAAACAATCCCAAGATAAAACCTTATTTGGAAGAAACATGTATAGTTGGGGTTGGTTCCTCCTAGAGTTGAAACATTTCTTTGGCAAGTAACCCATAAAAAATTGGTTGTGAAATCAGAGTTGAAGAAAAGAGGGGTTCCCTTATCAAATGGGGATATTTGTCCATTATGTAATCAGTATGAGGAGTCTGCCCAGCATATGTTTATTTTCTGTACAGTTACTAGTGAGATTTGGAATAAGTTTTTCAGTTTTTGGGATCTATGTACAGTTTTGCCTTCTGATCTTCTATCATTCATTAGTTCTTGGCCTGATTAAATGGCAAATTCAGTGATCTAGAAATTTATCCCGAATGTGGTTCTTTGGTCTATTTGGAATCATAGGAATTCGGTTGTTTTCGAGAAAAAAGTTTTTCACAAGTCTTCTCTATTCTTTATTGTAAGATTTAGATTAACTAAGTGGTTTCTTGCCAAGTTTCAACAAGTTTCGATTTCAGTTGACTTGTTAATGGTTGATCCTACCTTAGCAGATGGTGTTAAGTGCTCAAATGTAAAGAGTAGGGTAATACAGAAATGGCTTCCTCCTCCTGCGGATTTTTACAATTTCAATGTTGATGGTGCTGTCACAAATGATGGGTTGGCTGGTGGCATTAAGGGAATTCTTAAAGATTCAAATGGTTCCACTTTAACTTCGTTTTCAGAAAGTGTTAAATTTGGTCCTCCTCCACTGGCAGAATTGAAGGCAATTAGGAAAGCAACTGAAATTTTCTTTTTCTCGGTTTGGTCTAATAAAGGGAGATTGATTCTAGAAACTGATTGCAAAACAGTTGTTGATTAGATTCACTCGCCTTCCTCTGCACCTGTGAATTTTAGTAATCTAATTAAGGATATTGAGCTTTTTGTATTGTCTGGGGAATTGATAGTTAAGTTAATTTCTAGGGGTTGTAATTGGGAGGCTGATAAGTTAGCTAAGGAATGGGTTGGTTGACTGGGTAGTTTTATTGAGGATGTTTTTTGGCATTTTTAGGGGATAGTCTTATCCATTGTAATGCGAAGGCATATTGTTGTATGAATTTTATATCAATAAAATGAGGTACTCTTTTCCTCCTTCCGCTAGTTATTCCTTACCTCTTTGAAAGGATCAATTATAAAGGGGGTTTTTAATGTGACCTCCAAATTTTTATCCAAAAAAATCCCAAGATGAAAATAAGACTCCTAAATGGTGGGAGAACCAGGAGAATCATATCACTTCTTTGGAGTCTAGAATGGCCACAAATCAAGGGTATGTGGAGGAACTTTTGAGGATTTTGACTGGCCGAAATGAAGATCAGAACCAGTATGCTAATGACCAGGTACATACCCTTAATTCATCTAACATGAATGGAAAAAACCTGTAAAGGTTTACTTATAAACCTGATGAACCTGGGATCCTCAAGTCCAAGCCAGATGATTTGCCTGCTCATATGACTAATTTTAAAAATGATAATCAAGTGGGTGAGAATAGTGCTATTAAAAACAATACAGTGGGCTTAGAGGTGGATGAAAGAGGCACAGAGGGTCTTTTAATACTTCAGGAACGATGTGGCATAGACACAAAATTGAGCTACCTTTTTTTGAAGGAATTAATCCACGAGGTTGGATACAAAAATGCCTTAAATATTTTTTCTCTTTGTAGTATTGCTGATGAGCAAAGAGTGGAGGTGGATACAATGTATTTAACGGATAAAGCAGAAATTTGGTTTGGTGGCTATATTATGCAAAAACATCATGTGACATGGCATGAGTTTGAGTTAGACCTTTTTCATAGATTCAGTGATAGATCCTTTCCAGATATAGTGGAGGAGTTTACAGAATTAGTACAAAAAATGTATGTTGAGGAGTACCAGGACATATTTGAAGAACTACAACCTCACATGCTCTTACAAAATCCTACTTTAGGTGAAGAATTCTTTGTCTCTTTGTTTATTAGTGGGTTAAGAGATGATATTAAACACAGAGTCAAGGCTTTAGACCCTAAGACACTTTCTGAGGCATGTAGGGAAGCTAAGTTTATGAGTTGTCTGTTGAATTTGAGAATAAAAGATTGAGACCATCTTTTAGAAACCCACCCTACCCAAACCTTCTACCTATTTCTAAGCCAAATCAGCTACCATTACCACAAAAGAATTCAGCCATTATACCACCAAAGTAGAACCTAATAGACTAGAAAAGGCAGAATAACTTATGCTTTAAGTGTGGTGAAAAAATTGTTCCAGGTCATCAGTGCAAAACAAAGCAATTAAATATAATGATTGATGAGAAGACCGTTATTCCTTCAGAAACTTTACTTACTGATTCAGAGCAGCAAATTCTACAAGAAAATGAGAGCTTAGAAATATCTATGAATGCTATCACTGGATGTATTGGTCATAATACATTAAGAATTCAAGGCACCATTCAAGGCAGACCATTGAACATTTTAATTGACAGTGGTAGTACCCACAGTTTTTTAACACCACAGTGGGTTGATGCTGGTATTCAAGTGACTACACCTTACCCTTTGGCTATTACAGTGGCTAATGGACAACAACTCTACAGCTCAGTAAGATGTAATAAGGTAGAATGGCAGATGCAAGGACATTATTTTATTCATGATTTTAGACTTCTAAAATTGAGTGGAAGTGATATGGTGTTAGGTGTTGGCTGGATAAAATTATTCAGTCCAATCTTGATGGACTTCAACAAAATGACACTAAGTTTTGAACACCAGTTTGAACAAATTGTTATACATGGCCAGCAACCCTCAATTTTTTTCAATAAATATCAGGGGCTACACTTTTGAAAATAACAGCTTCAGACTCTGCTATTTTGGGGCATGTAGTACTGCTAACAATGACATAGAGTTCAAAATATATTCCTGCAACTATTCAACCTCTACTAGAGAGATACAAATATGTTTTTGCTGAACTAACAGGACTTCCACCAACAAGAAACCATGATCATGCTATTCCTCTTAAGCCTGAGTTTGTGCCTGAGAATTTAAGGCCCTACAGATTTCCCCATAATCAGAAAGCTGAAGTGGAAAGACAAATTGTTACCATGTTATCCTCCTCTATTATTATTTTTTATAAGAATTGAAGGCCTCGTTAAAAACCCCCTTCTTAATTGAAGGAGCTCGTAAAGAAGCTCCTTAAATCAATGGAATGAGGAAAAGAGTGCCTTAAGATTTCATTAAACATAAAGAAAGTTACAATAGAAATACAGCACACCAAAACACCCTTTACGGGGACTAAAAGCCATAAGACAACCGTAAACAACAACATAAGAATCAACCTATTCCAGCCTTAGCTAAGAAATCAGCCTTTAGGTTAGTTGTCCTAGCAACCCATCTAACAACACCATCAAAAGCTTTAAGCCTATCAACTATGTCATTAACAATAAAAGCACACACATCTGGACATAAATCAACATTCTTAATCCAATCCACTATCACCCTGCTATCACTCTCAATAATCAACTGATCCTTAACAATCCCTTGAAAATAGGCAAAAAAATGATAAACCCCTTTGAATATCTTTAAGTTCCATTGATGTAGGAGGACCCGAATCAGCAGACTCCTTGAAAGAGCCTAAAATCAAACAGAATGTTCTCTTAAAATGCCACCAAGACCACTCTTCTTTCAGTCGCAACTAGTTACAACATCAACATTCAATTTGATAAAGCCCTTAGGGGAGAGGTAACCAAAGGATCTTAGATAAAATCACTTTATTGTAGGATGAACAAGAATCCCTTAGGGAAGGATCAGAAATGAGAGAATCCTTAGGGATAGAAATCTCCTTATACTTAGCTAAAAACCAAAAAGCAAGCCTAAATCTTGGTAAGACAAATAATTTTGTCTGATCTAACTTCCCCCTTCGAAAACTATATCATTCCTAACTTTCCAAATGGTCCAGAGAACAGCCCCTGGGATAAATGACCATATAGTTGAATTAGTCTTCAAATCATCCCAAGCTAAGAGAAAAATCTTGGCATTTGCGTGAAAAATAGAACTAAGCCTCCAAAACTTCATAAATTTATTCCATAAGGATCATACTACTAAGCAAGTAAAGGATAAATGTGTGGAAGATTCCTCTACCAGCTTACAAAGATGACATAAAACATCTTCAATACCTTAAAACCCTCTTTTAACCAGTTCATTCTTAACTGCTAGCCTTTGAAGAACAACTTGCCACATAAAGGATTCCACTCTTGGATGAAGCAAACCCTTCCAAATTATATTTTTCTATAAATGAACCTCCTCCGAACCTGAAGAACACAAATTAACACAAGAGCTAATAGAATACACACCATCCCTATTGTCTTTCCATATCAAAACATCATTGGATTCTTTAGAAAGAGAGTAATCTGAAATGATAACCAACATATTAGACCATTGTTCGAGCTCCCAGTCATTTAAATTCCTTCTCACTTGAACCAAATCCAGCCTATAGAACGATATTCAGAAAACTCACATAATTTGCCACTCTTATTTGTTGAAATAGAAAATAGTCTGGGAAAGATAACCATTGGCGGATAGTCTAAAGCCCAACTATCTTTCCAGAACCGAATGAACTTTCCATCACCAACTTGCAAACTACAAAACCTTCGAAACTTATAGCCGAATAGGTCATCTTTGTAATGGTTATTCACAGTTGATCTCCAAATCCATGAAGCTTGGGGTGGAACCTTTCTGTCAAATAATAACAATGATGAATCAATATTGTATTTGCTTCATATGAATTTTCACCAAACGGAGTTTCTTTCATTAACAAACCTCCAAGACCATTTCCCTAATAGTGCTCTGCTCATGTTGTTGATATTCCGAACACCCAAACCTCCCTCATTCTTTGATTTACACACGTTGGACCAATTAACCCAATGTATCTTGTTTTTTCCATTCCCCATCCCCATAAGAAGTAGACATGATAGAATTGAGAGTTTTGTAAACCGAGGCTGGAATTTTGAACAATGACAGAAAATAAGTAAGAAGCGAGCAAAGGATTGACTTGACTAATACCAATCTCCCTGCTAATCATAGAGTAGAAGCTTTCCAACCAGTAAGTTTCTTGTGAAAGTTTTAAACTACTAGATCCCAAAGAGCTTATGAATTCCTAATAGCACCAAGGGGAAGTCCTAAGTAATCTGAAGGAAAGGACCCAACTGAACAACCAATAGACTCTGCCCACTCCTGAATAACCTCTTGAGATAAGTTAATTCCAAACAGTTTGCTTTTCTTTAGATTTAGCTGAAGATCGGACATAACTTCAAACACTCTAAGAACCCTCTTCACATTCAAAATCTACATCTTCGAAGCTCCACAAAATATGATAAGATCATCAGCAAATTACAAATGTGATAAATTAAAAGAAACATCCTCTCTACCTATAACCATTCCAGAAAATAACCCCCCAGAAACTGCTTTCAGAAGTAATAAATTGAGTAGTTCCCCTAATAAGTTAAACAATAATGAAGACAAGGAACAACCCTGTCGAAGACCCTTTGCCATTATGAATTCCTTAGAGGGAACTCCATTGGCCAATATTGAAATAGAATTTATAGTAACACATCTCCTTATCTAGCCAATCCGTCTAGATCCAAAACCCATCTTCTCCATTACCATAAAAAAGATAGGCCAATCAACTGTATCATAAACCTTCTTGAAGTCAACCTTGAAAACCAAGCCCTTAAGCCCTTTTTTCCTCCAATAATCAATTCATTCGTTAGCAATGAGAGAACAATCCAAAATTTGATGTCCAGGGATGAAAGCAAATTGAGTTGGGCTGATGATGTCTCTGATGCAACTTCTTAACTTCCTGGAAA